CAGTGGGTTAACGTAAACTCCCCCGTGTGATCAAATTGCGATTCCCAGGAACCATTACACCATAAAGGCACCATAGTGTGAATAATATTTATAATAGTGCGAATTAATAAATACCCCCTGATAGCATCACCCCGTGTATTCACACTTAACCATGTTCACCCTCGGGGAAATGCTTGGGAGTTTTTTCTGATGTTGCTCAGAAGATGGCTGCAGTGGAGCCCCTTCCAGAGCATTGGGCATTCCTTTCTTTCGCAAGTTGACGCGTCCTGTAGACGGCTGATGCATGGTAAGCTGGTGTCTTGCTTGTCGGGGATAGCTGGTATTGCGCCATCATTGCTAGCATGCTCTTCAGAGAGCTCGGTGAGTTGGTTCAGTATGAACGCTTCTGACAGACAGCTGTATGCGACGTTTGATGGATTTATTACTTCTGAATTGTTTCGGTTTTTGGAGTGATGGGCACTGGATGAGGATGCAATAGGTCACGTAACGTTACTAGGTTCAGGCTGCACAGTCTGCGGAGCCATAGAAATAAAATCCTGTGATGAAAAAAAAAAATTGGCAGAACTCACGTACAATGGGAATCGATGATATGCGAAGCACGAATGAGAAAGGTTGATATATCACTTTAAAATCAGCACAACGTTACAAGGTGGAAGTAAATAATGCCGTACATTACTTCCGTGTCAAGATTATCATGTTTAGACCTGTCATTTACATTCGTCATGTATTCACGTCACTAGATACCAAATATATGTGGTGCTAGCAAAACGCCCGTGAGCCCGCTATGTGCGTGGTCTGTTGTCATGCTCTTACATGACACGTGTGTCAGGATTATCATTTTAGCACCAGTCATACACCTTCGTCATCCATTGACGTCACGTAACACCAAATTTGGTATATGTGGAGCTAGCCAAACGGCCGCGAGTGCATCATCAAGGGCCCAATATACTCCGACGTATGTTGACGCACACGCGCACGCTGGGCACAGCGACACTACGTTAGCAAAACGCGAGCACTCATAGTCTGACGCCAGGCACGACCGGCGCGACCAGCGTTCGTCGGCGCAGCCCGGTTGCAACCGGTGCGAAATGCGACATGCTTCATTTCGCGCCGATACGCTACCCAGACGACACTGCGTATCCCTCTTTTGGTGACGGAGGGACGCCGGAGGTGGTGAAACGCGCATGCGTCAAAGCAACGCAGCGCTGCGCACGCCTGCGAGTATATGGTAGGACCGGTGCCTGGCGTGGCAACGCAGGCGTGACCCGATGAAATGAACGCCGGTGAGCAGGCGCACTGCATCACGTCGAAATGTATTGATGTCTTGACTGTGGCATGTAGGCATGTTCTCCCATGACACGCATCTCATGGTTATCATGAGATGCGTGTACCAGTCACATACCTTCGTCATCCGTTGACTTCACGTAATACCGAATTTGGTACATGTGAACCTATCGATATGGCCGCGAGCGCATCATGAGCGTAGCGTGTAGTCATGTTGTTACGTGACACGAATCTCATGTTTATCATGTTTGCACCAGTATCATACCTTCGTAATCCATTCACGTCCCATATGCCACATTTGGTATAAGTGAAGCTAGCGAAATGGCCGCCAGCGCTTCATGAGCGGGGCATGTAGTCATGTTACATGACACGCATGTCATGATTTTCATGTTAGGGGCTATCACTTGTGTTCGCCATGCAATCATGTCATACCATACCAGTTTTGCAACATGCCATGTGAACGAAACCACCGCAAGAGCTGCAGGACCATGAAATGTAAATAATGACATTTATGTATCATACATATGATTTTCATGTTATGATTAGTCAATTATGTTCTTCATACAGTCATCTTATGCCATACCAAGTTTGGCATTGATACCATTATCGAAACGACCAGGAGAGCTAGAAGTCGTAGGCGGCTAGATAGATAGATAGATAGATAGATAGATAGATAGATAGATAGATAGATAGATAGATAGATAGATAGATAGATAGATAGATAGATAGAGAGATAGATAGATAGATAGATAGATAGATAGATAGATAGATAGATAGATAGATAGATAGATAGATAGATAGATAGATAGATAGATACGCTCAAAGTCGCCGAAGTTCAAGAAATGCTTCGCATTTAAAACACCTTTTCGAGTCGTCATGGCGTGGTTGGATATTTTCCCGATGTGTCTGTTCGTCTATCAGGAACACGGTAGCCTTGTGAGCTTACGAGGCAAACGGTGAGCGTTAAGAGCACTTGAGGAGCCGCGTGATGGAAACTGGGAGGTGGACAATGTATGCGAGACGAGGAATGAAGAGTGAGCAACGTCTCGTGTTATATGTGTGAGTGATGACTTTAGAACTCTACTGACTTTCGTGCCGAAGAGGAGCCTGATGGAAAGCTATGTCTCTTGACAAAAGTGCGAGGACTGTGCCGGCTGAGAGCGATTGCCTCCAGATTGTAGGTAATAAAGAAGCCCTTGTCATTGTCCTTAAAACAGGCAATCATCTCTTCTTTCATCTTTATCCATGATTTGTTGTTTTGAAAAGTGTGAGTGAGGTAGAACTTGAAAGCCTCTCCGGAGACGTAGTCGGTAAAGCTGATGGCCTTCTCCCGTTCCGACCACGATGCAGTGGTACTGTGGAGCTGGAATAGGTCGAACCAGTTCTGTAAGGCTCCATCGTGTGCTGATCCGGTCTACTTGTGGGTGCCAATGTCCGCCGGTGGTGCTGTGATGACGCTGGTCACGGTGCAGAGTGGGAATGCGCTTCTGTGGTCTACGTCCGGTGACTGCGTCTTGCTGAGGTCTACGATAAGGACGGCCGGTTGATGAAGTGACTGCCAGGTCTTCTTGCTGCCAACTTGTGTGACGCTAGATGTAGTAGACGTGGCCCGGCTCAAACGCAATGTTTATTGATGGTGATAATGATGATGATGCCTCCAATGGCTCCTGCCCACTCACGGGATATCACCGGACTGGCTCTTCTGTGAATGTTTTTGTGCAAGTATATGGTACTGCTCCATTTTTTCGGCATTTTTTTTCTCGTGTTGTGAGACTCCACTTGTTCATATCTTGTAGTTTGTAGCTCTCTCATTCTTTCGGGGGGAGGGGAAATCCTGTGACGCAAGAAGATATGCAGGTATGGGTAGTAGAAACTGATAAGGAAGAAGTGCAATGGAATAAACATAGAGCGTATGAGCCGGGCCACGTCTCCAAGTCATCATAACTGCACAACACAGACTATATATATATAGTCTGTGTATATATATATACACAGACTATATATATATATATATATATATATATATATATATATATATATATATATATATATATATATATATATATATATATATATATAATGTTGTCATACGTTCGCCCGCTCGAGCCCTCCGTGGCTCTGTCCGAGAAGGAACTCAGGTTCCTCGAAGGTTTCGGTGCGCACAAGTAGTTGTATTATCTTTACTTTTCTGTTTCGTTTTCTTATAAATTTTTCTTTGCCGTTTTTCTGTGCTTTTGTTTTTTGTCTTTGTTTTTCTCTTACTCATGTTTTGCTCTTTGTGCCATATGGTTTTTATCACATGGTTACAGTCTCCTCTATATATTTTCGTGCTCTGCGCAACAAAATCGGTTGGAATTAGCGCTCATGTATTTCGTGTCCTTCTTGTCTCTGTGTCGTCGTTTTGTTCTCGAGCTATAACTGTCATCATGCCATACCAACTAGCCCAAGCTGCCACACTTCTAGGGAAACAGGTGTTTCGCTTTGACCACACTGACACGTTCCATATGTGTCTGTGGGGGGGGGGGGGGGGAGCGGTGAATTTGGTGCAAAGATGGTGAAAACACACAAGGCCATTTGAAAACTGCAGGCTAAATTTTGGGCCAGAGGGCACATGTTATTATTACGGCGTGCATGTATCCAGCCCTTTTGTACCACTCCCCGAAGCGCTTGTGATTGAAACTGGCTGGCACGGTTTGGGTTCTCCCACTCACATATAATAAGGCAGACATAAATAAACGTAATGGCCGAAAATAGAAAGAAATGTGAAATGTGAAATCGTAGCAAATAATAACAAGATATAATGAAACCGGCGATATTATACGAAAGATATGCGCAGAACTCTGGAAACTCAGAGAAATGCAAACCGACAAAGCAGTAATACAAAAATAAAATAATAATATATTGAAGGAATGATGGCAACACCAGGGAACAACAAGCATCGCAGAGAATGGCTCGAGATCGGCGCTCGAGCACCACCATCTTCCTCGTCCTGTGGCTATCTCTAGTCTTCCACCTGCACGTTAGGTTCGCCCAATAAACCTCTTTACAATAATAATAATGCAAAAATTTTTAAACGAAGACTGAATAAAAAGTCAAAATGAAAACAGTCAGAAAACAAAAATACACATGCGAACAGAATATGAAAAAAAATATGTTTGGTTGGTCTATTCCTCCCGATAACTATTGGGCACTTCTTTTGAGCATGTCGAGGAATAATATTTTGAATATGCCAGACTCAAATCGTGTCCATTCTCACCTCTGCACGTCTTAAGGAATGACAGGCTGCCGATGCTTTCATTGATGCCAGTGTTTGAAAATTGTGGATGAAGTATGAGTCCCTTTGTTGCTGGGAGCAAAGGAAGTCGTACTTCATCCACAAAGAAAAGTGAGCCCCGTAATTGTTTACACCTATATGCAGTAGCTAACAAGGGAAGAAGTAAGGACGGAATAAATTAGATAAAGGGAGAAGTAAAGATTGAGAGAAAAGTAAGGGATTGGGAGACGGTCGTCGAAGAGAGGACATCACGGACGACACAACCAACAGCCATGAAATCCACCAAGCACCTCCAATCGTAAAGCTGCTGCGATGAATGCCGATGATGATGTACGGTGTCTTATGGTGCAAGGGTAATTTGAGAGGCAAAGAGCGCCAGGTGCTACTACAGTGAACCTCTTTGCACTAATTTTTATTGCCTTTACATCCTTCTCTCTTACAGGCGCGACTACGGCACACCAAGCAGTCTCGCGCTGCTGGACATGGTGAAGGTGATGTCGTTCGCCCTTACCGAGGGCAAAGTGGCCGTCCACTGCCACGCTGGGCTAGGTCGGACTGGCGTGCTTGTAGCCAGCTACCTGGTGTTCGCGCTGCGGTGCAGGCCCAACGACGCCGTGCGCTTTGTTCGGCTCAAGCGTCGCGGTTCGGTGCAGACCCAGAGCCAGATCGACTGCGTCCAGAAGTTCGCCCAGTTCGTGCTGCCACTGCTCGTCGTCTATCCCATCGTGTGAGTCGGACGGCGGCCACCAGGAGGCGAAGCTGTACTACTTATATTGAAAGAAGCTTCGTACACGCATACGATCAAGCGATATACATGCCTATGGAAGACCTTGCTATAGCCAGGTGTCTGTACAGCCCTCAAAAACTGTCGGAAACATACAACCTAGACTAGAAGTTCCGGAGATCATTGTCAAGTGGGTGTTAATTGGTCATATTGTCACAGACGTCAAAACAGAGGTCCTGCTTCAGAGATTGAGACACCAGAAGCAGGTCGGTTCTTTCAATAGAACGCGCAAGAGAGTTCTTCTTTTTCATCCATTTCATTGTACTTCATGGCAGATGCACAACTGTCATTGTCTTTCTTTTTGACAAGAACGTGACAATATGTGTAGCTGGCAAAATGCTTTCTGAAGCAATAGTTAAAAAAAAACAGAAAAGAAAGAGGACGGAGCTGCAGGTTTAAACCCTTTCAACGCAGACGGAAGCGCAGCTTGAGACGATGACTTTAATGAATGAATGAACGAAATTAGGGACCGCTTTCAGAGCAAATACTCGTTGGACCATAGTCTTACGCGTCCCAGACAATCTGAGTTACGTCATTGTTGCAGCAAATTTTGAAACTGATGGACCTCGGAGATCGTTTGTTAGCGCTCTTCGCAATCACGAACGTTCGCGCTAGTTGAACTATTCTCCATACTGTCGTGTGTTTATTCTTAAGCCATATTTTCATGCGTAGAACAGCGGAACGAACACAAGTCTGATTGAGAGTCCTAGCTGGTCCTCCATGGTGATTATCTTTTTTAGTGTTGCATTTCAATGACGTAACGCAAGCTAACGTACTCGCGCGTTATCTCCCGCAGGTACACAAGTAGAAAAGCAACCAAAGTAGACAAATACAGGTAAGGTGGTCGTTCAACTACAGTTCCTACGAAAATAGAGTTACCCTTTATATGCACCTAAATTAGATATAAAAGCTAACCACCCATTTGAGTTTGTATATTTAATTCACTTGTTTGTGGTCACGCCGTCAAGCAGAAATAACCTGCATCAATGCACCACAGTTACGACAGCTACTGATACACGCAACATAATTTGAAATTATAGAGCGCAATATGTAACTCGTTCAGTACAATCAACTGGTATGCGGAAATAGTAGCGAATATATTGCGTATATAAGATTCGAATCATGTATTGTCTTTTTGACCACTACAGGCCTACCAAAGCTACAGACTTCACCCTCATTCAGTACATGGCCAAACAGCGAAAAGTCCTGCACGGCACCGAAGCTAGACATTTGAGATACATTCCAAAGGTAAGTCGCATCACCACAATTATTCCTCTTTGCAGGAATCACTGAGTGATTATTATTCGCTGTTAGCTCGTTCACACAATTCCACTTGGTGCTGATAACTGTAGTTTAGCCCAACTATAAGTTTACTTTGTTCACTGTCGCACGGTTGAAATTCAGCTTTTCTGCAGTAGTGGTTGTGCGCGGCGTCCCTTGGGAAGTACTTGAAAACTACTTGGATTTGAAATTAGGAGGAGGGCATTTTGTGATATACCCTTAGAAGTGAGGTCGGTTTGCCTTAGAATGCGCAGAATACACCTGTGATTGATCGATCTTCGCGCTATGCAAATGCAAGTCTATTTATTTCACGCGAACATGCATCCCAATAGTTAGACGTTACGTAGCATACCTTCCAATGTTGGCACATCAATAAATACGGAAAAATCATGTACCTATTTCTCATCTTTCCCGCATGGTAGTTTTGTTTTGTTGAAAAAAAAAGAAAGTGTTTTGAAAGCGACGCACCTACAGTGAACCTGCCGCTCCACTTGCAGATCCTGTACGTACTATGCGAAAGGCTACTCAGGCTTAGTCAGTCCAAGGGGACGTTAGGCACAAGCAGCATGAAGAGCTCCTCAAGTAGCAGCATCAGCAGCCGGAGCAGGTACTCGAGCTTGATTCACTCCCAACTCCCAATGATAACTGTAACGCTTGAATAAAATTAGTGATTGCTATGTCGCGTTTAACGCCCTAAAACCTCCATGATTCTGCGAGACGTTTGAATAAAACCATGCTCACCTCGATGGGGAAATGCCTTACAACTGACTCTTACATTCGGAACGTTTTTTTTTCATAAAACCAAACGTGTTCAGCTACGTAGACTAGCATTAACACTCATCATGGGAAGTCTTTAGTCGAGTGACCTTACTCCATTTGATATATAATCTGGCGGTCGATTGAAAAACATACTGGGTCGAGGAGAGGAAGCTATGACGTGTGTCGAGGACCACGTAACGCATGGACAGAGGCTATCCGCACTATTGCGAGACGGACCACAGGACAGTTGACGCCTATACAATAGTCTCTCAAGTTTCCACTACACAGCCATAAATGTCGCTTGTTTCATAAACTTTCTTTCTACATGAAAAAGTTTCCGTGTTCGCCGGAAAACGCCAGAAAAATGGCATTTTCGAAACGACTGGAGCATGCTCCTATAATCGGTTGGTTGGCTGGTATAACTGTGCAACCCTTTTCTTTTTGCGAACTCTTTACTAGGCGATGTTATGGCGCTCAATAAAAAAAAGAAGCTCTATAATTTTATTGCGTGCTTTCTAATAGCTATTCGACTTATCGTTCGCAAAATGTGTTTTTGGAAAGTGCTTTTGAAATATAGAAAGCCAGAAAAGGCTCTCATCCAGTGATGAAAAAACGTCATTGGTCAAGAAATGTCCCTGGAGCGAACCTCTCAACAAGTGGGCTTGTCTATGTCATGGCATTGACTTGATGCTCCGGCCAAAACAAGTCCGCTTTTCGGGCACGTTTGCGCCGGCAACAGCCCCCACTCAACGATCATTTCTAAGCCTCCCTATTCCTCAGATCTTCTGTCTTTATTTAAATGTTGCACTCCTTGTGATTCCTCGTTCCAGCACAACGGTTGGTTCCACATCGAGCACCGCAAGCATGACGCGCTGTCCGAGCTTCGAGCTGACCGACCTGGACCCCTTCTGGAACTATTTCCTCTCTTCCTCCGTGAGCCACGATCGGTGGCGGCCCATTGCGATGAGCGAGCGCGGTGACTCGGCGGCCACCAGCGGCTCCTCCGTCACCACGAGCGTCGAGGACATTCTCTCGCCATCGCCCGACGACGAGGACGAAGAACCGTCGGACACGGACGCGGTCCTGGACTCCCTCCTGATCGCCGGACTTGCGGGCCTATTTTCGTCGACACCCAACAGCCCTGAGTTCAGCAGCTACGAGGACGAAGAGTTCGAGGCCAGCGAAGCCGGCTGCAGCAGTCAGGAGGACGAGACCCTGACCGAGAACGCCTGCTTCAAGGAGTTGTCATCGCAGAAGGAGCTGCGGGCACGTCGAGAGGTACGTGCACCACGAAACAATGGAGTCTTCTAAATGATCTAATCTATAGGAGATGTTAAGGGGTTCACATGCGATTCATATGAAATGTGGACAGATTGATGATTGATATTTGGGGTTTAACGTCCCAAAACCAGAAATTTGGACAGGTTCAAGTGCTCGTTAGGGAACCGCAGGTAGCCAAACGTAATCCAGATTACAGCATGCAACATAATTATCGTCATAGACGTGCGTGGGCTTTTTTTTCATAGGAGAGGGGGGGGGGCAAGTTTCAACGCAGCGTCCTCTAAACTGCCAGCAGCATAGCCATAAATTTTTCCGGGAAGAGGTCGCATCCTACTTTATTAATGTTCGTGTACGCATCTGAATGTGTACGCGTCCGTCTGTGTGTGCCTGCACGCACGCACACACATGCAAACGCACGCACACACATGCAAACCTTGAAAAATTGTGTGGGAGGGGGATGAACATCTTGGCTTCACTTGTGCCCTCTCCCCCATTAATGATCTACTTGGTTTGAAAAGATGCTTCGCAATGAAAGTGAAAATGTGAATAAAACGATGCCGTGCTACTGACTGAAGCCTTTGGTTTCGGTTTTTCGGAGCTTGAAGGTGGGATGTAAACAGTTCTTAAACTACATCATGAGGACTCCTTGTCCATCACTATCGTCATAAACCTGCATGACCATAAGTTTGCAATGATGGTACAGGACCACCTCAAACATACTTGGCTCCCCCAATAGATGATAAGATGGGGAAGAGGGTAAGTGACCGCTGTTCTCAGCATCCCACCTTGCGCTCGCCAATCCGCATTATGGTCTCTGGAAGTAAAGCACCGCGGAACAACACTGAATTATTTGAAATTTATTCTGCGCAGGAAGAGGCCGCCTGCTCGTCGGTGGCCCTGTCTCCTTCGGACGTAGCCTCGGCGCTGCTCCTGGAGCACAAGCTGCTGGGAGCCGCGTACCTTGCTCGGCTTCGGAAGTACCAGCGTGAGCTAAACACTAGGGGTGCCGCTTGGGACAAGGTGAGCATCGAAGAGGACCCCGTGATCCTTTCCGGGCTTCTCTGGTACTGGCTGGATGAGCTGAGGGAGCCCGTACTGAGCAAACGCGACCTGACGGTGGTCGTCGTGCGGCCGACAAACCCGGTGGCCGTTCTTCAGAAGCTGAACAAGGTATTGCTAGTTTGTGAAGACAGTGCTCCCCCTCGACCTTCTAAACCCACTTTCTGCAAGAGATTTTTTGTGACGTCTACAATGTCAACTATAGTTTCTTATCAGCCGCCACTCGTCTCATCTCGAAGATTGCTTTGAGTGATTGCTGTATTTACTCACATGCTAAGGGCACTGTCTAATTTTGGCGAGCGTGATGTTGACGAGGAGTTTGATTAATGGGACATAACGTTAAAATGTGACGAATTCTGTGAGAGGATATGAGGGGTAATTTTGACCAACAAACCGAGATTTTTCGACGTGCAGAAACTCTCCATTTTATACAGGGCTGTAGCCTTTCGTCTTCATCAATGAGGATAAGGGTGAGACATTGACAAGCATAAGTTTTTTTTTTGCACGTCAACCTTGTTTATTTTCTCCGCTTATGCACTGTTCATGAAGTATGTCTAACTGGTAAGCTCTAGTTTACACCATACAAGCTGTACAGTGATCCACCGACTTTTTACAGAGGTTGTACAAATGAGAGAAGAATGACAAGTTAGGCGAGTTGGTATTCTTTCATAATACTTCTTAAATAAACCTGCTATGTGGTCTAGTCGGTATATGAATGTATGGTTTAGTCTGGCTGTGAGTAACTAGATGCAGTGACAAAAAAAAACCGGAAGGAACAAGCACTTCGCACACGCACTTCAACTTGTGTGTGTCTTCTTCTGTGGTCACTTCTTCGTCCTGTTCCTCGCAGCGGGAATAAGCCATGGAATAGTTTAGATGAACACTAGAGATTGTCTCACTGTCCGAAAGATGCATCATGTACACAATGGGTCTCATCGTCAATGCATGCAGGCAACTCGCTTCACGACAGAATACCTGGTGAGATTCGTGGCGCGGCTGAACCTGCCGACGCTCGCAGAGAGGCGAAACGTGATACGGCGGCTGACGAGCGCTCTGTGTCACCAGACACTGTCCATCGACGGCATCCAGCGTCCGGCAGTGGCCGGTTGGGCCAAGATGCGCCAAGGCACGGCAGCACGGGCCACCGAGTTTATGGAGGTGCTGCACGACGCCGTGGGCCCGGATGCGGTGCCCTCGGTCAGCCAGCGAGACGGCACGCAGAAGCACAACGGGACTGCCCTCACCAACGGAGCTTCCACTTCCAGGGAAAGGAACTTTCGCGGAATCAACATCATGGCGTCTGCCATCGCTAGGTAGCGACAGATAGACAGCTGCACAGTTCGCTGTTTGATTTCCCGAGACCGACCAAGAATTTTTCGGAACCATCGTACTTTCCCGGTTCCGGTTTGAAGAACTGAAGCCTCCGGAAGCTATGTCGCTGGACCACGGGCTGCCGACGCGAGTGCTCTAACCCACGAATGAACGTGGATTACTTCGATTGACCTTGAAGGTTTCAGCTAGAAGATACAATGAGCGTGGTTTAAATGAAGGCCAATTTATTGTTGCAATGTTCTGAGAGAGTGTCTTTCAAGTGGGAAACTTCTTGCTGTGCAAATTACACTTGGGTCGAGTGCGTGACTGTGTGCCCTGGCGTAGCGCTGCTGATGCCTCGCATTAGCTACAAGTTTCCATCCATGCTTTAATTATAGCACAAGGACCTTGCGTGTAGTATGACGTTTACGTTTGTTATTGTTTTGGCATCTGTTTCTGCCTACTTGTGCAAAAATACGGTGGCTGACTGACCGCAAGTGTGATTCCGACTGTACGTGAAATTCCGAAAGTCAATGAGGAAAGGACAACGTGTGAAGTAGCCTCTTCCTTGATGCGCCATTATCATGATGATGATGATGAGTGGTGCTTAATGGCATGAAGACGGGCCATTATGATGACTACATCTGTTTGTGCCGTCCTTGTAGATTCTCTTTCATGTGACCTCTGTTGCGAAAACCAGATACTTGTTTTCATAAAGAAAATGTGTTTACATTCATCCTTACTGAATCTTCCGAAAACCTGTATGGCGGGTAACCTGAACCTGTATTGCGGGCAGCCTAAACCTAAACCTAGTGCGCAGTTAACGGCACGTTACGGAGAACGCTGCGCGGGGTTTCCTTCAGGTTGGATCAGGATAGGAGCAGTACTAACGCTGACCAGAAAGCTATTACTAGAACACTATCGCACTGCTTGGTTTAAGTGAACTTATGCCTGGGCTAGTTGATGCCTAAGTTTGTTAAACGTTCTATTCCTGGCGTAATGCTTGAAACATGGAGAAAGGAAAGGAAAAAGATACATGGGAACGCTTCTCTGTTAATCTTGTCTGTATTTTCTTTATATGTTTGATGCTTCCCTCCTGAAGTAAGTTTAGCAAACCGCGTTGTTTAAATTCCCTTACAAGCAGTCGCGCTTTTGCAAGCCAATGGTTTCAACTACTCAGTGCAGAAAGCCGATGCAATATGCCGATGAACACTCTAAGGAAAGGAGGATAGAGTTAACAGCACGATCCCTCATACCTTCATTCAGGCCTGATTTAACTTGAGTATTACCAACTAACTAGTAGGCTTTCACCTAGGTTGCCAACAGTAACAAGCCTTTGAGGTCAACAAGGGAACCAGAGCTTTGCTCATAACAACTAAAGGAAGGGCCCATTTCTGCAAGTACTGAGGGGATCAAAAGAAGCACAAACAGCGTGGTGCACTGTTTTCATGATTATCTGACCCTGGTGGCAATAAGAGATGCCAGAAAATTCTCGATTTTATCATGAACGACTCTAGTGGTTTTTTTATCCCGTTGCAGGCTACAACCACTTTGAAATAAAGACGAAAAAGCAGAGAATGTAGACGTCGCACGTTCGCGTTTCCTTCCACCCCCAATGTGCATCGATATGGTAGGCATAGGTCGATTGACTCCATTGTTACCACTCAGGCCCAGCCCAGTGCTCAGAAGGTGGCAGAGTGGCTTCGTAGAGATACTCAGACGAAGCTTCGGTGAAAGTAAAGGCTCACGCACTTCCGAATTTCGCCACGACTGCACGTGCTAATTATGTTCAGTGTATTGATGCGTGTCATGTGACTGACTGTGCGTAAACACCAAAGATGTACCAAAGATGACTACGAGGGTATGGCTCGAGAGAGAGAGAAAAAAATTGGCCCAGTACCTGCATGTTTCACTGCACATGTCGTCGGAAGGCGATAGTCTAGCGTCTAGAAGGAGTGCATTAAACGTTTATGTTAATTTCTGCGCGAGAAAATGGGCGAACGGGATTCAGGAGGCGCGGCGTGAGACATGAGCGCCATCTGGCAGTAATCTTGGAAAACGAAAAGATGGCCTCTGATATACCGTGCGCGCAATCTCGGAGGCCATAAATTGTAGAATGCAAGGCGACGGGTAGGGGCCACCCTCTTGTCGTCTTACCAAAGCGCAGAAAACACCCGCCTTTTCGTGCATAGCGTTGCACCGTCCGCGCAGCTTAAAAAAAGCTGCGTTTTTTAAGAATATTTATGCATTCTTTTTATGCTACAAAGAAACACGCCCCAGATATTGACGTGTCGAGTTTGTGCCTGAGATACGCGCAATATTTTCTTTTAATCGACAATACGCACAAGTATGAATGCCGAAACCAGATCGAAATTAGCGGGCGCTGGGGATGTGGTCAAATTTAAGCCGTTTTAGGTGACACACAGATCGACAGAGAAACATTTTTGCGTCGATATATCCCACGAAAGACTATCGTCTTTAGAAAACGCCGTAACATTGTAGAAAGCTCAGATACGGACAAAAGGAGCTTGCGTCGATCGTCTACGAAGAGAGAGAGAGTTCTGTATATATGTTGTTTTGTAACATATTGGATGGTCTAGCATGCATATAACCATTGTTTGATAATTAATCTGTCGCAACGAGAGTTTTACCTGTATTCGATAAGGTGTACATGTCAGGATGGCTGCAAACAGGCTGTCTGAAACGTCATGCTCAAGTGCTTGCCACCCTTCCCGATACCTAGGTCATCCGAGTTAATATAAGGTCCTTCAATGTAAAACATTGCAAGTGTTTGTGTTTTAACGTAAACATACCAGGAGAGTGCAAATCTGGTGTATGTTTCGGTAACACTTGCTGGCAGGCTGGCTGGCGATACATAGTTCACAGCTAAAACAACACTAACGGATCAAGACAAAGAAGACACATGACAGAGTGCAGCGACACAACACTGTCCTGTGCCTTCTTTGAATATTGTTACGTTTGAGCTGTTTTACCTATGGACCATGTATACCTCACAGCTAAGTGTCTATCGTCTTGATTTAGGTAAAAGTGTGTCTGAAATTGAACCCACTTGCTTGAAGGCATGTCACGCTTTCAAACAGCAAAGTATGTTATAAAGCCCCGTATGCCTAAACAACCACAAAGCAGTCATAATTGCTGAAAGCTTCTGCAATTGGGAAAACAACTACGTTCGCGATTGTGGTAAAAATAGAAAGACCGACAAGCAATACACAAGCAATTCGTAATGCTGTTCGCAAGCCATGCTGTTGGCTCTCGGGCTGCTTTTGAAACAATTTATTATAAAGAAACAACAAGCGGCCTCCTCAGCCAGAGTATGTTCCCATCGACCACCAAGTCTTTTATTCCTGAACTCATAATTACCAAGCAAACACTTAGAAAAAGTGTGCAGCTCAAGCTTATGTTTTTTTTTTTGTTTCGAATGGGAAGATGTGCCGTTACAACTTTTCTTGTCTGAATATCTTTACAGCAGCATGACGATACATCGTGTTGCAACGGCAAAATTTTACGAGACCACCATTTAAATGATATTTTAGCTAAACGTCACGGATTTCGCATGAAAGAATTGCTGCGCATTAAGTCATGAACTGCACATTTGTCGTATACGGTGCTTCTTGTGAAAAGGATCCCTTGGAAAGAGCGAAGGAAAAATCGGTGATACTTTTTTTTTGGCTACCATGTTACACTATCCATTGCAAAGCAACCTCTCTGAAACTGTACATATGTAATAGAACGAATCACTGACCACTCAACCAATGTACATTTTTTGCGATGGTATATTTGCTTCGGTATGCACGAAACTCAACATACGCGCTTTCGACAAGTTAAACCGACGTTTTCTATAACTTGAAACGTTGCAACATGTGTAAACACTGTACTGCATCTTGCGCATCGGTGATTAGGTTTCTTATAGGTATGACATTGTTCGGTGCGGTGTCCTATTAGTACAAAATCCTAATGAATGATTGCTGGTTCACTGATCACAGGATGGTCGAGTATATAAGGGTGCGAAAGGTGTAAAAGATCGTGAGATGTGGTTAAATGGTGAAAGTGTACTGGACTGACCAGCACTGCCCGCAGGGTGGTCCGGTATGAAGACGTTTTGAAAGGTATGAATGATTAGAAATGTTCGTTGGTACATTGGCGGTGATTGCTATAGAAGGAAGCGGGCGCACTGCAACCATGCTCCGCTGTGAAGAGTATGACCTGTGGTCATAGGCATGTACAAGCCTCAGAAATCCCTGCCAACTGTACATTCGGTCATCAAGGCTAGAGGTAACGGATTTTCGAGCTTAGGGAAATGAATAGTATGGGTGAGAACGTTTGGGTCTGATCGAACAAAAACTGCTTTACCTTATAGGAGTAGGATTTCAGTTTTTTTTTCTTTTTTGTATATTGCTACGTCCGCTCGGCGTGTAACTAGTGCTCAAAATAAGAATCCCCAATGTCAACGAGACTCGGCGTTCTATTGTATGCTTCCACGAGATGTGTCTGTAAAATATTCACAACGTTCACTTTCAACATTTTGGCGACTACAGGTGTACTGTCATCCACAGCTTGTACAGAACGCTCCAGCGAATCTATATGTTCTTCCCTTCAAATGGCTGTTCCATATAAAGACAAAAAGAGGAAATAAATTCATGTGAAAATGTCAGACTCATTGTGTTGAATGAATGAATCGACGTGACTCCCATTTCAAATGCATTGGGAAACCAAGAGCTACTAATGAAAGCTCAGGAAAATGGCACCGTGGATGAACAGGTAATTTTTCACGAAGCTGGAGTAGTAATTCGAATGAAACATGGACCTTGCCCATGTTCCCCCAATAAACCCTGTTCTGTGCTTACTGCTGCCAAGTTATCTCTGCGATCATCAATCAATCAATCAAGCAATCAATCAATCAATCAATCAATCAACCAACCGATCTATCAATCAATGTTTTCAACGCGTTTTTGATCAAGTGGGGGTTTCTCAGGTGAAAGGCGGTT